AAAAAAAAAAAAAAAAAGCTCTTAGTGTTACTGCATATAAAGATGTTCATGTGTGTTCATGCATACACACATACTGCACACAAACCTCTGTAAGTGACCACCCAAGGGACTGGAACAAACTAGTCAACGTATGGAGGTGGTCAGCATAAGGAACTAAGCCTACTGCATTAAGTACATATGGTGCATGTCTGGTCTATAAAAACTAGATCAACTTAACGATAAGGATGTGGTCAGTGTAGGGAGGTGGTCAGCTATAGAGGTTCTACTGTTTATATAATGGAGAGGGAGTGTAATGTCCCCAGGACCCTATACTGGGCTACCTCCACCTCTGGAGCTTCTGATTGAAAGAAGGAAGCCCAGGCACCTGAATCTCTACAAAGTTGCAGGGATCTCAAAGTTCCAGAGTCTCATTCTGTGGCCCTAGGTAGAGTCCTATGGTATCATAGGTCACAGCAACCTCAAACTCCTGGATTTTAGGAATCCTTTTGCCTCAGATTCCCAAGTAGCTAGAACTACAGGCACCTGCTGCAATACCTGGCTAGGTTTTCTATTTTTAGTAGAGATAGGGTCTCACTTTTGCTCAAGCTAGTCTTGAATTCCTGAGCTCAGTCTACCCCACAGCCTCCCAAAGTACTAGGATTATATATGTGAGCCACTGTGCCTGGCTAGGTAAATTTTTTTTTTAAGTGTATACCTTGTAACCACTAGTCTAGATAAGAATGTTTCTATCATCTAGAAGGTTTCTTCATGCCCCCTTCCCTGTCCCATTACCTCAGAAGTGGTTGTTATTCTTCCTTTTATTTTCATGAATTATATCTTAGTATTGTTGTCTTATAGAATGTCCTATATCTTGGATCTATCTACTTGTTTCCTCATTATGGTAATTGACATATTCCTTTATGTCTTATTATTTCCCTTGCGCTGGAAGTTAAGTTTGGGCTCAGGCTTAATGGTAAATATTTCTAGCAAGACTTGTTGTCCTTCCTGATGGGCTCCTCTTCTGCTCTCCAGATGAGTTCCCCACAAAAGAACTCCACATCATCATCCCAGAACAAGTATGAGGTGCTGCCCAATGGCTGTGAGGCGCACTGGGAGGTCGTGGAGCGGATACTGTTCATCTATGCCAAACTCAACCCTGGCATTGCTTATGTGCAGGGCATGAATGAGATTGTGGGGCCCCTCTACTATACCTTTGCCACTGACCCCAACAGCGAGTGGAAAGGTAAAGAAGCTCTTGGCTACCTCCATCTCTCCTTGCTATCGCTGAGACAAGCCGGGCTGGGGGCAGTATCAGGCTGGCAGCTCACTCCCACTCTGCTCTGTTGGGTGAGGGTTTGGCCTGGGTCACCTCTAAGATCCTAGCTCTGACATTCTAGAATATTGGATGTTTATGATCTTTTGCTATTCATAAGTTAATTTCTGATAGAAAAGTTGAAATGAGATATATATACAGAAAGCTCACTGACAAGATCTAAAGAATGATTTAAAAAAGGGCGGTGCATTGGCTTGGTGCGTGTGGCTCAAGTGGCTAAGGCGCCAGCTATATACGCCTAGGGTGGTGGGTTCAAGTCCAGCCTGGCCCCGCCAAAACAACAATGACAGCTGCAACCAGTAAATGGCTAGATGCTATGGCGGGAGCCTGTGGTCCCAGCTGCTTGGGAGGCTGAGGCAGGAGACTCGCTTGAGCCCAGGAGTTGGAGGTTGCTGTGACCTGTGATGCCACGGCACTCTACCCAGGGGGACAGCTTGAGGCTCTGTGTCAAAAATAAAAATAAAAAAAAGGTGGCGCCTGTGGCTCAGTAGGGTGCCCCATACACCAAGGGTGCTGGGTTCATACTTGGCCCCCCGGCAAACCACAATAAAAAATAGCTGGGTGTTGTGGTGGGCTCCTGTAGTCCCAGCTACTCGGGAGGCTGAGGCAAGAGATTCGCCTAAACCCAAGAGCTGGAGGTTGTTGTGAGCTGTGATGCCACGGCACTTTACTGAGAGCGACAAAATGAGACTCTGTCTTTAAAAAAAAAAAAAAAAAGAATGATTCAAAAAAATGTCATCAAGAGAGCATGTTGGGGGTGCCTGTGGCTCAGTGGGGAGAGCGCTGGCCCCAGCCAAACTGCCACAAAAAAATAGCCAGGTGCTGTGGTGGGTGCCTGTAGTCGCAGCTAGTCAGGAGGCTGAGGCAAGAAAATTGCCTAAGCCCAGGAGTTGGAGGTTGCTGTGAGCTGTGTTGCTGTGGTACTCTCTAAGGGTGATAAAGTGAGACTCAGTCTCTTTTAAAAAAAAAAGAGAGAGAGAGAGCATGTAATAAATTGCTACATGAGTGTGCAGTGTTGCCAGAAGATATGAGAAGAAAGCCATGATGTCCTTATGCTGGGCATGGAGAGTGGTCACTGACAGAGGAAGGACTGAGCCTGACCACGAGGGAGGGACAACTTGGAAAGGCCCAGACAGGGCAGGGTTCATGTAGGTGAGAGGTGGGATGGGCCTTCAGTGTGCCGCATCCATGTACCCTGTGTCTTTCCCAGAGCATGCTGAGGCAGATACCTTTTTCTGCTTTACCAACCTCATGGCTGAGATCCGAGACAACTTCATCAAGAGCCTGGATGACTCCCAGTGTGGCATCACCTATAAGATGGAAAAGGTGTACTCCACCTTGAAGGATAAGGACGTGGAACTCTACCTGAAACTGGTGAGGACCCCCAGGACCAGACAGTGGAAAAGGGCAGAGGGACAGAGCAGTTCCAGAGCAGCCCAGGCCCAAGGCTGGGTCTGGCTTGGGTCTAGGGGTTGAAAGTGGCCACTGCTACTGATGGTGATGTACCCCACACTGAGGCAGGCGTGGGAGAGAAGGGAAGAGTTGTGAATGGTGCCCATTATGTACCAGGCACAGTGCAGGGTATTTACTGTATAAATAAAAGAGTTAAATTTGTTGGGCAGCGCCTGTGGCTCAAAGGAGTAGGGCGCTGGCCCCATATGCCGGAGGTGGTGGGTTTAAACCCAGCCCAGCGAAAAACTGCAAAAAAAAAAAGTTAAGTTTGTTAATAGTTTTCTGTATGAGACTTTTTTTTTTTGAGACAGAGTTTCAATATATATATATTTTTTATTTTTTTTATTTTTATTTATTTTTTTGAGACAGAGCCTCAGGTTATTCCCCTGGGTAGAATGTTATGGCATCACAGCTCACAGCAACCTCCAACTCCTGGGC